GCGGAGAGCGAAGCCTGCCTGGTGGCTTCGTTCACATGCCAGGAGTCAGAGATTCACCCCTCCTTGAGTGAGAGCGTAGACTCCAATGAGTTTTCAGTCTTTTACTCGTGTTTATGGCTGTCTGAAAGGCTCGGATTTAAACACACCGATGGGATTTGACAGATACATAAAGTCTGGTTGGAACAAAGGAAGATAAGCAAAACCTGAACTGCAATGATGCTGTCTTCGCCTTTAAAGCGGAGACTCCACAGTTTGGAGTTTAAGTGTTTTTATCTGATCTGAAGAGCAAAATGATGCGGAATCAAAAACGTGACAGCTAAGGATTTGACTTAAAAATGATTTTAAATCTGCTGTCTGCTACTCCAGCAATATTTTTTACGTCACAAGCACAAAATTCAATGAATGATGTGGGAATTTATTATCTCAAACAACAAGAAAAAATATATTTTTTTGAAACATACACAGTTCAATTTGGTCTCATCTGATAAGAGCACTTTGCATTTCAGCCCCATTTAATCCGATGCTTCGAATTAAAATTCGCTGCAACTAATTGCAGCTAGTAAAGCAAGTCAGTTATTTCTGTCGTTTAACATCAGCATACATCTGCTCCGTGAACAGAGTTTTATTAAAAAGCGTATTAGTGAACTGAAAACGTCATGAAGACCAATGAGCAAAGCAGATGGGCCGGGGAGAAAGTTCTGAAGGAGTTAAAGCGGGGTTAGGAATCTGTTAATTAACTAATTAATTAATTAACAGTTTTTCTTCAAGCAAGAAGAAAGACATTCTTCTTTTGCTGAAAGGTTTTCACAAACAAACATGTGGAGCAGAGTGTCCTGGTCAGATTAGATGCAAAACCTTTTTAGTCCACATGCAAAAGAGGAAACTCAATACTGCAAACCACCTTCTAAAGTCCATAGTCATCATGATAAAATGGTGATGGCAGCATCATGCTATGGGAAACGTTTCATTCAGCAGAGACGGAGAAGCTGGTTGGAGGTGATAGATGGAGCTAAGTCAGACTGCGGTGAGGATTCGCCTTGTGACAAGACGACGACCCTAGCGATACAGTGCGGAGTGTCGTCGTTTGAAATTGGCCTAGTCAAAGTCCAGGTCCAAATTCAACTGAATATCTTCAGCAAGAGTTGATAATCAATATTTGCAAATTATATCTTTCTGATCTGATTGAGCTGGAGATAATTTGTAAAGAAGAATGGGGGGGAAGAACTAACTAAAAGAAACTATAAAAGTAAAGCGCAAGTCTACAAAATACTGACCCCAGGGGGCTGAATTATTCTGCATTTTTAACATTTCAGGTTTTTATTTAAAACTCATTTGAAAACCATGTATCATTTCCTTCCACTTCACATCCATGACCTGTTTTGTGTTTGTTTTTGATATAAAACCTCAGTTAAACACATAGTTTTTGGCTGTAGCGTGTAGCTTGTAGCCTATCTATTTTTATTAAGTTGAACAGTCTTAACTCAAAATTAAGGTATGGTTCATGTCTTAATCAGAGTTAAATCCTCACTATAGGTCTTAAATTTGATTAAGTTTTCTTTTTTACCTTGCTACTTATTACCTTTTGGTGGATATTGAGATGTTTCCACTTAAAATAACAGAAAAGTGCTGTGCAATATCAACGTCACCGTCGCTCTCGGTGGCCAAAAGAAATCCATCTTGTGGCCATTTACTGTCATCAATAAAATCCTGAAGTAGTTGCAGATAGAAAGTGAGACGTCCTTGAGTTCGATGCAATTTTTTTTTCCTTTCTTTTTGCTCTTTACAGACACTTTAGGGAGGAGCTGAAATCTAATTATAATCTAACACAGACTTGGCTCGATTGGCTGCATTCCAGGTCCAACAAATTCCTCTTACTGGCACACTGAGCTCAAACCAAAACGGGGAATGCAGTTCAGACTTCAAACATCAACTTCATGGTGAATGATGGGCATAATGTGAAATCACACATTGCCTGTTTTTGGAAAGGTCTCCATACCCCATTTTTCCTGTTGCTTTTTTGTTTTTTATGTGCAACTCCTGGCAGGAAGAGACTCTTTTTTGTAGTTACAGTAAGATATAACCTCTGCATTAGCTTTCCGTCCTGTCCTTGTCCCTTATCCTATGACAGAAAGGGAACCTTTCCTCTCTGGTTCCCCATATCTCTCCAAGCCATCTGGAGTGGTAGCCATGAATCAGCCACTTAGCTCCTGAAGTGGACACACACTTCATACTCTTACTCACACCCCTGGAGTGAGCCAGTCATTGACACAGCAGCTGTGTCATCCGGTCGGAGAGCATCTGACAGGACAGAGAGGAGAGCTGTTCAGTGAGGCAGACCAAAGGTGACGACAGAAGAGGAGAGGGAGAGCTCTCCACCTGTGTGCCATGTGCTTCCTGATTTACAAGCAGGCTCGACGCTGGGCTTTATGGTGCCGATCACATGCTCCTAAATACATAACCCACCGCAAACTCCCTCGATCCTCAAAGCCTCCCCTCCAGAACACGCTCCCGTGGATTTACTGGCCTGAGGACGTGCCGCGCTGGTCCAAACGCCGCTTAGCGAGCTCCCCGGGGGCGCATGTGTGCGTTTGCTCGGTTCGCCCAGCCGCGCTCAATGAAAGCGGTGACAGATTGGTCTGATGTAGGTAGTAGTAGGCACACAGTCTGTGGGAGGACTCCAATGAGTGCGATAAGAGGGGCAAACAGCCCACACACACCAAGGACTGATAAGAGCAGCAACAGGAGCTGAAGCTCAGGAAACAGGCAATAGAGATAAAAAAAGAGAGAGTTTTATAGATAGACGGAGGCCTGCTGGGACACAGACCACTTTGTTGTGTCGTACCATTCATTTATTTTTCACTTATACATTTTTAATCCACTTGGGTTTTTCTGTAACACTTGGACAGTAAATAATGACACATATAATGCAAAGTTGACCAATTTAATGGACTTTTAATACAAGTTTTAATGCAAATTTGCTTTAAAAGTGCCATTAATTACAGAATAAAATCTCATGACAACAGTCTTTAAACATTCATTAAGTCTCCTTCATTTTCATGACAGATGTTATTGTCAACTGTATGACAGTTTTTCAGTTAGTTGTGTTTTGTCATAAAACAGAAAATAGAATAAATATTATGGGACATGAACCATACCTTAATTTTGCGTTGTAAGGCTGCTCAACTTAATCAAAACAGAAACACACTGCAGCCAAAAGCTGTGTGTTTAATTGGGATTTTATATGAAAAACAAACACAAAGCAGGTCATGGATGTGAAATGAAAGGACAATGATATATATACTTTTTCAAATTAGTTTGAAATAGTTATTATGTGAGCTACAATGTTTCCAAGTACAAAAAGATCAAAGAGAACTACATTAATCTTAAGAATCAAACTTATAACTGGAGCACATAGTTGTGTTTAATGACATTCAGCCAGCGTTACCGTTTCCTGGTTTGCTCTGATCTACTTCAGTTTCTACTTAGAAATGCTCTCTTCTACTTTCAGATATTTCTGGGAAGCAAAGATCCACAATTTATGTTTTTTGGCTCATGTTGCTCATTAGTCCTACATCACATTTAACTTGTTTGCATTTTACTCTGCAAATAATTTACACCAACATTTTTTCTGCATACAGCTAAAGGCAATCTAAGTACCACTAGTTGCACTTGTGCCAAAGAACTATAAAGACATAATGCGTCACCCTGTGAGTTTTGTTTTCCCCAAGCAGCGTACTGAATAGCAGCGGGATCATTGCACCGAGTCAAAGCAGCACACTGTATTCGGACATGTCAGCTTTTATTAAAATGATTTAATTCATTCAGAAGCAGTTGCATAATATTATCTTCTCCGATTCAGATTAAGTCCCCTCATAAACTCCAGGCCAACTATAGTAGAGATCTGGAATTTTAAGCATGTGGACAGGGCTCAGTATTAATTTCTTTTGACGTTAATACATATTAAAGACTGAAGTCAGTCCAAAGGAATGAACTCATTGTTTTTGAAGCTGTAAGTCTGCATGTGTGAGCTGCACAGTTAGGCTCTCAGAAAGCAAAAGACGTTTAACAAAGGTCCGATCATTAGCAACAATACAAAAAAAAGGGAAAAAAAACAGAGTATTAATTCGTCTGCAGCCTTGAAGGCTCACAGAGTGACATGTGACACAACGTAGAGGAAAATCTTATGGCAGGAAGAGGGTGGGGGGCCGGGCATGTAGCGAATGAGGCTGAATGCTTTAACATCACAGGGTTTCTGGGAAAACAGCAGAAAATAAAACACTTATGGTGCGAGCGGTGAAAGTTTGGTGATGAATGCTTTTGGGGGGAAAAATGGTAAGACATTACTACGTCAGCTCAGACTTTGAGGAGGACTAAGAGTTATTTATATCCCAGAATAAGGGAAAAGAAAGAACTTTTGTAGCACACTCCTTTCAAACCTGGCTGCGAAATGAATAGAGAGGGTTGGATTAGGCTGAGGAATTTAGACATGATTACATTCCTGGAGCATATGTGTCAGATACACCCACCGACCCGCCGCACCCATACCCAACAACCAGTTTCTGGAGGAAGAGTGAAGGATGGGCTCTCGTTCAAAGCCTGACATTGATCAGAAACAGCCTATCAGAATTATACCCCATTATTTGATCATTTTTGGTAAACATGCACAAGTTTTTTCCCGTCACCCAGCACACACCAGTCACACACACCATGTTTTTGCCTTAATGCGATCCTGATGAGGCGCTGTTGCAACAAACACCTCGAAGACGTCTGTAAACCTTTAAGAATTGGATTCTCATGCAGTCTTGTAGTAACACTGGTTGTGTTTTATGTGCCTGTGTGTGAACGCCTCCACTATGTCTCTCACCACCCTGTTGTCGCCACCACACCGATGCTGTGTACCCACCTGCACTCTCTTTGCATAGTTAGTGTTAGTCGCCCCCCCCCACTCCCTCATGTGTGTGTGTGTGTGTGCGTGTGTGTATGTGTGTGAGACCACTTACTGTTCCTCTCTTTCTTCCTCTGTTTCCTCACAGCATGTGATTGCCATCCCGTGGGCGCTGCTGGCAAAACCTGTAACCAAACCACAGGACAATGTCCCTGTAAAGATGGCGTGACTGGTATCACGTGCAACCGCTGCGCTAAAGGCTACCAGCAGAGCCGCTCGCCCATTGCCCCCTGCATAAGTACGTGGAAGCAGTCTACATCCAGCTAGGACACGGATTTGCTTAACTCCAGCTTTAAGCAGCTGTTATTTCACCATCCACACATGATACTCATGTTGCAGTTTCATGCTAGCTGACGCTAGCAGCTAGCTTAGCCAACGCAGGCATCTACCATCACAAAAACATAACTCTGACCTCAAAAACAATATGAAAGGTTTTTTTCTGGATGCTGTTGATGAACCTTTAAAAGTAAAAACCTTGGTTTTTTTGTTTGTTTGGGGGGGGCTGCACTGGTAGCAATCATTCTCTGAGTTTTTTTTTTTTTTTTTTTTGGTTCTGGCTAATGAATTCGGCTGTTATTTCACAAAACTGTAAGGAAAATAAACTTCAACAAGATGCTTCATATCTTCTATAAATCAGTTGTTGAGCATCTTCTCTTCCACCATCACCTGCTGGGATAGCAGCATTAGAGAAAGGGAATTAAAAATGCTCAACAACCTGATAAAGAACACTGATTCTGTTCTGGGGACGACTGTGGAACCACTGGAGATTAGATGAGAAGATTATTTAAATAAAGCCAAGAAAATTACAGACAACCTTGAGGTTTTTCTTCATGGGACTTCCATACAAAAACAGAGCGTCTTCAGCTGGAGGCGTCTTCAGATCCGCCATGGAGATCCTTCCTGTCCACAATCATTAGCTTCTTCAAAAACTCTTTAAAGAATCTTAGATAATATGAGTTACAGAAGTATTTCTGAATTTGAAATGAAATGGGGGCAGCTTGTAATCTTCCTGTGCGACACTGAGAATGAAAACATGCATTAGTCAAACTGATGCTCTCAAAACATAAAGTGGAGTAAAATACAAAAATGTCATAGCTGTGGTATTTATTTTAAATTGCCTTATATTTTTTTATCAGACAGTTAATCTGACCAGAAACGGTTTACTTTTTAGCGTTCTCAGTGTTTCACACAGGACACTTCATGGTCTCCTACTTCCATATACTGTATAAATTATCATTGGTTTCTATGTAAGTAAGCAACCAGCCCAAATGTGTCAATAGTTTAAAGGTTACATGTTTGTGTTCACGTAAACGTCTGTGGCGATTTTGAGACCAGAGTTGTTTTAAGAAGGTAGAAGTCTGTTTTGGTTTTGATTTCACTCAGGCTAGCTGTTAGCTTCAGCCCCTAGGACTCATTAATCTGGATTTATGCTAAATGAAGACTCAAGTAAGAGGTTAACACCTTACAAAAGAGCATCACTTAAATAATCCAGATTAAACTCTTTATGGACGATGGCGGCACATGAGAAACTGCTTTCTGTCGCTGTATGCACATTCTTATTCAAAACCCACTCAAACAATCAAGCATTTGTAACAAATCGACATGCACAGTACAGATTGTGTTTCATTCTTGCTAGACTAGTAGATGGTTGTAATAAACACAACTTTCAACTTTAATATATTCTAATTTTGGCTGTTGCAGCCACAGTCCGAATATATTATAAATACAGATTAAATTACACCAATAGTATCTAAGAAAGAACTTGAAGTTGAAACTCAATATAAAAATAGATCTAATCCAATTAATTAACTTTATTTTAAACAGATTTAGATTGTGTCTCAGAGATTGTGCACACTTAAAAAAAAAAGTCAACATGAGATAATAAGAGAAAAATAGGCTCAGTGTTTGCATATCACCCGAATAATGATGAAAGATTGTGTCACTTTTGGGCTTCCTGTCCTTCTAGTACCTTAGCGATTGTTTTCATCAAACGGTTAATAAGAGCAAACAAACGATGTGTGGGATCATTTCACACAATCGTATTTAGAAATGCTGAAAGTTGGAGTCGGGTATCATCGGTCCCAGATGGTTTTCAGTGGAAATACAAGAAAACTCAATAAAATCAGGGTATAACATCAAAGTATATCCCAGTTTTATAAAGTTTCTATTTAAAAATGTTAAAATTATGGTCTTCCAGTCCTTTCAATGTAAAAATCTTTATGTCGCTTCTTAATGTGAAACTACATAAAGTCACTTGGATGAAAAAAAACAGACTTCACATTTTCTCCTCCAAAATAGACAAATTTGGAACTAAAGCACCATCCATCAGTCCCACTAAGGGAAGTTTTCTTTTAAAGCTTCAAAAGGTTTCAGTTAAAAGTTCCGGATGGCTACTGGAGCAGATAGCTCAACTAACTACTTACTATAAGCTTGTTATACGCTCTTTTATTTTATAAAGAGCAAAATGATAGGAATGTATCTTATTCTAAATATTATGTACTTTAAAAATGAAGGATAAAAACAGTAAAATAATTGCTTAGATAACATTAATCTAAGTGTATCAGTGTGTTTAAGCAGCATTATAATTAATTGTTGATGCGCTTTAAATAAAAGCAGTTAAACCACATTTTACATTTGATTTCAAATCTTAAAAAAGTGAGTATTTTTTTACTGAAGGTGATCATTCTGTGAGAATCACATACCAGTACCTACTCGAGATGCAAACCCCTCACTGTTACACACCTTTTCCCGCAGTGTGTCCACCCTCTTCCTTTGCATGTGTCTTTAATATGCCTTCTTTAGCCATCTTGTTTCTTCTAGTAAGAGATCTCTCACCTGTGCATGATTTCCCTGTGTGTAAACGGTGTACCCACTCTTAAATAGACAGTTCATGACAAAGTGACTGAGTGAAGCAAGTTTTCCTGACGTCTAACAGCTCTGTTGACCTGTCTTTACCTCTGGACCAAAGCTTAGAGTGTAAATTGATTAAACTGATCATTTAAACAGTAGCCAGGTTTATCCAAGGATAACTCTGGAAAGGCTAAGCAAAAACCAGATCCACCTGTGTCAAAGCGTTACACTCAAGTAGATGGTTGGTGGATTTCGTTTTATTAAATTGAAGTTAAATACGTGGCTTAACAATGGCAATGACACTTTGGATACAGTCGTGGTGGAACGACCCAGAAAAGCCATCGCTGATGACACCGCGCTCGGTCACTCCCGTTGTTCATGAAGAATATCTCTTCCTAATGTTGGACATGAGATTCTCACAGTAGGAAAACCTTAAGTTAAAACATTCCACTTTTATGGGATCTCGATATTTACACAAAAGCACGCAGCTTGATCTGTTTTTCCATTTATATAGAAAAGCAACTGTTTTTTGTTCTGCAACTACACATAAGCTACATATATTTACTGAAATTTTGAAGCATAGACTGAAACCTCTGGTAACAGATATAAAAAAAAAACTGTAGCAAAATGAGACATCATCTTCATAGTGTTGTGTTATGCCATACAAAACAAAAAGAAACCAAATATTACTTAAATATGTAACCCATTACTGTGTGAATAAATGTACAGTAAAAATAACATGTGTTTGAAGTCAAGAAAATTGCAAATTATGTAGAGATTTTTAATTTTAAAGAACATACAATAAACACTGTATATTGGAATTGAAAATGACCAAAATTAGACGCACTTGGATGTAACTCAGACCACTACAAACTTCTAAAACAATACTTGATCAATATGTGTTGAAAATGCATCAACAGGCATTAGCAGTATATACACAACTCCATTGGCTGCTTGCTGGCAAATTCGTAACAATAGACTACATGCAGGTAAGAATTTAATTTGAAACTTAAAAAAAAACATAATTAAGGTGTCAGAATTAAACAGAAAGGACTGAAAGAACAAAAACGAGTTCACACTCCATCGCTATCTATTGGCCAAAGTTATGCCTAAAATCAGCTTAACAACAACAGCAATACTGATCATTTATGTACATCTGTAAATAAATGTAGTTAGTAAAGGATTAAACTGTATATTTTTCTACATTTTTATTCAAGTAGATGTAATGATTTTACCAAAAAAAAAAAAACATTTTTTGATCATTTTTTTCTTAAAGCATGCAAAGGAATAAAAACTTGTGGACTGTGAAGACAATTTGCTATTATAGGGATTAAATCTTTCACATATCCAGTTTCATAATAATAATAATAATAATAATAATGATAATAATGATAATGATAAAGACTTTATCTGGCTGTCCATTGCAATTGTTTTGTAAATTTAGATCATAGAAAATTTGAGTGACCATCAAAAACTTGTCTCCTGTAAAAGGAAATCTGTTTTAGCACCTCACCACTTTAGTACATAATTGAACTGTTCTAGACATTAACACTCTTTACATATACATGAACAAAAACAAAAAAATCCATCACATGCGCTTGGTACAAATGAATAAATCAATTATTTTCTCTCGTTTTCTCTGAGTAGAGATTCCAGTTTCACCTCCCACGACTCCGTCCAGCATCACAGAGGAGCCATCAGGTGAGCACAGCTGAGCGTTAGACATTCATTTGTAAGTGTGAGTGCGAACGCGGGTGCGTGTGCATGCATGTGTGTTTGCATGTGCGTGTTTACACACCAGCTGTGCAGTAAAATATGCACAGAATTTGGTGGAAATGTAAGTGAATGCAAATGAAATGTTTCACCTTCTTTCACTTCCTCTCTTGATTCCAGTAAAAAGTGACTGTAGGATAAATTGGATCCCACTTGCCTCTTCCCTCATTACTAGAAGGGTTCATGAATATTAAAGCCATTAGCATCAACTGTGGGATGTGCCTCCTTTAATCTCTCACACTTTCACAATTAATCAGCCTAACTGTGGCACAGTGGGGTGTTTTTTTTTTTCCCCCTGCGTGGGCCTGGGATTTTTCACTTCATTTGACCGAATGATACTTTATCGCTCCGAACTGCAGTGCTTTTCCAGGCCTCCTTCTCCAGGGTAGTGAGAAATAGATGGAGGGACTTTTGATCTTGCAATGCAACGAGAAGGAATCCAAACAACTTTTATTTCATTCATGCTGCAGATGATTTTCCATAGAGTGTGTGTGTAACACCAAGACTGCATATTAGCAC